TTAGATTCACATTTAACCCCCAACTTCCTGACTAGCTTCACACCAGGAGCCACTTTCCCAGCCCTACCGACACAGGACCTTTCTTACATTAAGACTCTGGAGAAATGGGGTGTGGTGGGGCACGCTGGGCACGCGGAGGCGGGAAGATCCAACCTTGAGCCCAGCCTGGGCAACTTACTTGATGGGTTCTGGCCCTAGTGTGAATTACTGAATTATTACGGTGTCATCCAGTATGGCTGAAGCCCTTAAAACAGCAGCTCATCTTCCCAAGACCTCGGCCCCTCTTCTCCAGCCCAGCCCACCCAGCCCAGGGTGCAGGTTCCTTTCCCCCTCCGCCACCTCGGGGAAGGCCCCGTCAGCTCCTCGGTCCTCTGAGCACCTCCCCGAGTTCGAAGCCCCTTTCCCTTCCTCCTCCTGCCCGCTTCTCTCTTGGCTCTCATCCTCCTCAAGCCTGCAGAGCTCAGCGGGCGGCAGGGAGCAGAGCGTGGAGGTGCGAGGTGTGCCCGGGGTCACTGGAGGGACACCGAGGCAGTCTTCTTTCACGAGAGCAGCGGCAAGCTCGGTCCTGGCTGGCGCCTGGCGCGGGGAGGACGGCGGACCGTCCCTGTCCCGGGACGCCAGGCCTGCCGTGTCTTCGTCCTTCGCGGCCCGCCTCGGCCTCCCCGGGGCTGGGACCTCAGCCGTGCGCCAGTACCCGGCAGGTCAAGGGAGAGGGTCACGTCGCCTCGCCGCCGCCCCGCCGTGCTTGGAAACTTGAGCCCAGCGGGCTGGCTGCGGGCCGCAGCTCAGGGAAGGCAGCCAGAGCCGCGAGGAGGCGGCCGGAGGGGCTTCTGAGGCCCAACGCCCGGCCTGAAGGCGCCCTCGACTCCACCGCCCTGCACGGCTTTGAGCTAAAGCATGGCAGGGCAAGAGCCCATGGCCAGAGGGGCCTGGGGGGTCTCGGGGCGGGTGAGAAGGGCGCCCACCTGAGTGGGGGCACAAAGCCCGCATGAATGCAGAGCCTTTGAGCTGAGCTACTCCTCAGCTCCTTCTATTTATTTGGTACAGGGTCTCGCTCCGCAGCTTGGACTCCTGGTGATCTTCCTGTCTCAGCCTCCCCAGCCCTGGGACTACAGGCCTGCGCTGGCACAGCATGTGGTGCTGGGGATTGAACCCGGGTCCTCGTGCATGCCAGGCAGGCACCTGAGACAGCTGAGCTATCTCCCCTGCCCTCAGCTCCTTTTATTTTTTAAACTTTTATTTATTTTTTTAATAAGCAGAACATATTTATTGAGAGAAAGAAAGCTCTTGTCCCAAGAGAGGGACAGAAGGGGGGACCCAGCGGGTACTTCCCCGGGAAGTTCTCTTGCAGGGACTTTTATAGAGGAAAACCATGTGGTGAGGCGGGTCTAAGGTGGTGGAGAAGACATGGGAACTTGCTGTCGGGCAAAACTATGGTCAACCAATGAGATTACAAGCACCATTGCTCAGGTAAAATTGATTAAATCCAGTATCTAATGGGAAAGCGAGTCACATAGCAAGCGGCACGAATTCGGAACAGGGTCTCTTCCTGTTGGGGATTGGGCTAGTGACTCAATAGGGCTCTTTCAAGGTGATTGATACCTGTTTAAAATATCAATCCCTGATGCCCATCCCTAGGGAAGTGTGTAGCTGTGTTTCCTCTTTTGTCTTGGTCTTGAGGTGTGGCCCATGTGGGAGTGTCTGGGTAAAGTCACCTTGTCTTCCATCTTGTCTCCTCGAGGGCCTGGCCCTGTCTAACTGCCTATAATATTTCTGTCTAACTCGGCTGCCTGTAACATTCCCCCCTCTGAAGAAGTAACCCCAACTGCCGTGAGGGAACCATGGGCGATGACCGCTCTGGCTTCTTCAAGCTGAAATGGGTCGTAGTTGTTGACTGGCAGTTAGATATGTTCTTCAGAAGTTCTATCTAAAGGCCCTCAGTAGACACCACACATTTTCATTACAGCTTTGAATCGGAAGACAAAGGCAAAGAAACTATTAAACATACATTGGCCAAATAAAAACACTAGTCAGAACATTTTTTAGGTCCATTAGCAGAGATCTTTTTTTTTTTTAAGTTTTATTTATGTGTGTGTGTGTGTGTGTGTGTGTGGCCAGCTCAGCCCACCAGGGGGCGGGGCTGGCTGGCATGTGGTGCTGGGGGATTGAACCGAGGTCCCTGTGCTTTGCTAAGCTTGTTCTAAGTAGGTGCTTTAGACCACTGAGCCATCTCACCAGCCCCATAAGTCGGTGCTTTAGACCACTGAGCCACCTCACCAGCCCCTGTGGATTATTCTTAGACATTCACCACTGTGTGATATATTTGAAATGGCAGTGGGAATGGTGGATGGTGCCTTAAGAAAAAGACATACGGGGCCGGGGGGATGCTCAGTGGAATGAGCGCTTCCCTGGCAAGCGCAAGGGCCGGAGTTCAAGCCCCCGTTCCGGCAAAAAAAAAAAAAAAAAAAGGAAAAGAAAAAGAAATAAAAAGAAGAAAGTAGGTAGAAAATCATGTATATTATTTAGGTTATTTATTTATTTTTTAAAATTTTTTTATTTTTATTTTAGAGAATGGTCTACAGGGTGTTTAGGGTCTCACTACTAGATCACACTCAGTGACCCGCCTGTTCACAGCCTCCCAAGTGCTGGAATTACAGGCGTGCGCCCCCGGGGTGGGGCCGGCACAGCAGGCCCTGTGATGGAGCCCCAGCCCCTGCGCCTGTTCACATAGGTTATTTCATTACTGTAGTTTTACCTAAAGAAAGTGATGGGACTTTTTAAAAAGTCTATAGAATGGTTCATTCATCAAAAACATAGGGAAACCTGTGACTGTCTGTGAGTGAGAGAGTTGCCCGGTAGAATTTTGCTGGAGGGCGTTGACAGCAGTGTGAGGCAATTTTGGTGAGAACGCAGTAGTTCTGGTTAG